AGAGGTTAAAAGGACAAAAAGTAGATCAAAGAAAGGAACCAAAACCACGTTTTAGCCAGGCATAGATTTCTAGAATTGTTGTTAAGTTTCATGAGACCAACATTTGTAATGTAAATAGCAGCTGCCCTATCTGATATGTTTCATGCAATGTATTGCATTCTGTGGTGACAGGAATAGTGCACAGTGGGCACAATGTGAAAGTGATGTGTGTTATATTTTTGGCATTGGCTTAGTTAAGTATGTGGCCAAAAAAAAGTGTAAGAGGAACTGAGTGAGATTGAAAGGTATTGGGGTTTGTTTTCCCAATTTTTTATGGTATATGATAAAATAATTCTCAGTATTAGGAATTCCAGTGAGCTCTGAACTTGTTTGATAGAAGTTCAAAATTGCTAAGGCACATTTCCTGAGAATTAGTTTTCATAGTACATGCAGGAAACACTAGTGTAAAAGAGACTTTCAGAGAGAATTGTACTTGAAAGACATCCCATATTTGCTTTCTAAAGTGGTTGAAAAAAAGAGGTGGGGAAAGTTGTCTCCTCATATCCAACTCAGATGTGGTTTATATAGTTTTAATACTCTTCAGAACATCCCTTTTATTTTGTCTGCTCCAGTTTAGGTGGTAGAATTTTTAGCACTTCTCTTTCCTGCTTGGTTTTTGTAATATTTAGAACTTGTGTTTCTGTTTTTCTTTGTACAACTTTATCCAGTTTCTTGGCTTGTGATCAGCTGGACCAAGCAGAAGAAGCTTCATTTCTCTCAGTTTTTAAACTCTTCATTGCTTGTCAGCATGTCATGTTCTCTTTATACTCCTTAATGAAAATATTGGGTGAACAGGATCTTAATTCCCATTTCCCAAGAGAAGGAGAAATACCTATTGGTTTACCTTTAGGGTTCAACTACATAAAGCACCTGACACTGAAGGGAGATTATTATGAACTAGGAAAGGATTGAAATAAATGTGGTTGGCAGCTGAAACTAGTGTGATGTACAGTAGACCAAATACCAGCCCTGGGGAAAAAGATTGGGTTTCCTTTTTGGCTTTGTCACTAACTTGTGAAGATGTGCAAAAATGTGTTAGGTTGCCTGTAAGTCAAAGGTTATCATCAAGTTGAGTGCAGGGTTCAGACAGGGATGGTGGGTTACTATACTTCATTATGTTAAAATGCACCACAGTTGAAGAGAGTCATTCTGTACTACTGTCTAATTATTTTCTCTGAAGTGATTAGAAAGAAAATATCCTTAAACTTGTTTGATTTTTCTTTTGGTTGGTCTTGTTTTACCATGAGCTCAATAGAGTGGGTTTGTTTTCACACCTGTGCACTATAGGTGTGAATTGTAGTAGTCCAAGCACTTTTGTTTTTTCCCCATGTAGAGCCACTTAGTTTTACAGGACAAGGTGATATATTTCTGACCTGTAACACAATTTACTAAAACTGTGTTAGTTACCCCTAGTATATTGTATTTGCTGAAGGACTAGAAGAGAACAAATTTGATAAAAAAACCCCAGTCTGAAATGGTAATGTATAATCTTGTAATGCAATAGCAAATCAAGTAAATAACCAATTTTTAGCACTGGCAAAAATTTAGCCATTGAGTGTGTATTGAGATTTGTCTTTAGGACATCAGATAATTGGAAGAGAGGGTGGACTATTAGAGGCAGAACATCTGATGTAGTAAAAAAAATGTTCTTGCAATATAGTTACGAGAATAATTGAATAGGTTAAAATATAACTTCCCCTCAGCTCATGGTTACTGCCCACTCAGCTCAGCCAGTGGCTGTGAATGTTTCTAGCCTATTTAAATTCAAAATAAGGCAAGCCCATTTTAATTACCAGTGGAGCAGGTGGTACCAGCCTCTGTCAGAAGGGGGATGCTGGTCTTGTTCGAAACTGTACTCCCTGTATTTATTTAGTGGGAAAATATATTTTAGAATTCAGGCAATGGAACTTTGAAATCAGTTGGAAAAAGAAATAGGGTGTTTTTTTTTGTCAAATGATTCCCCATTTTATGCCACTCAATGTGTATTAAAGATGTTTAGCCTTTCTAAATAAAAAGCTTTGCTTCTCTGGGTCTAAAGTTGTTCTTACATCCGAGGTATTAATGCAACTGGGAGCTAGAGGGATTGCTGCATCCTGGCCCAGTACTTAGCAGGCAATATCAGCATTCCCATTTGGCTAAAGTCCAAGTGCTGTGCTGCTGTATCTTTGTTGTGAAGAATCAATGTAGATTGACTTGAGTTCAGGAGAGGATTTTGTCAGTCAGCTTTCAAGTTGTGAACATTGAGGCCAGTCCCTTGTTTGTGGAGCTGACAATACAAAAGTGAGTGTTTGACACGTGGCTTCCTCAGTGGATGGGGATAGAGGCTGTTGAGATTTTTCAGAGATCAGGCTCTAAATGAAGTTGTTCTGTTGGGTCACTCATCTGATTTACACACAAGCTGTTTCTATTGAAGCACCTGGGGCCTTTTGTTCAGGCTTGTGAATAAGCCTCTTTCAGTCACCAACAGTAATTTAGCGTCTCTGCTTCCTTCAGTAGGTAAAAGTCAAGTGCAGAATTCTACACTGTGCAACTTCACACTTATTTTTTAAGACAGGTAGCAGCACTGTATCACTAATGTAAATTTTGTTATGTGCTGGAGCAGATTGAGAGCTCATCTAAGGTGTTGGTAATTTTTTACTTCATAATTCTTAATTCTGGAATAATACTAAGCAGCAGGAGGCATGGGTGAGTAATGATATCCTCTGTACGTACAGAGAGCTCTGCAGAATGGACATTTAATGTTTTCCTTTGTTGTTGTGGCAATTTTAGAGGAAGACATTTCATTGCCTTGCAAGTGCCCTGGCTCTATGGAGTGCCCAAACTGCAGCTTGTAGTGACTCTGGCTTGAGCATTAATCTCACATAAACTTTGAGGCAACATAATCTTGTCTTTCCACCAACAGAGTGCTTCTCATTTTTCCTGGCCCTGTATATTTCCATGCTTCAGTCAATACAAATATTTAAAGTAACTTCTTTTTTTTCTTGTCACTCAGTTTTAATGGCAATCAGTTCTTTGAGTTCATTATCATGGCATGAAAACTTGAGTGAGCCCAAGGGATGGGAAAGCTTGAGAAGAGGGAGTAAATGCTGTCTGCAAGTCTTGGATAGGTCTGCAAAAAAACACAAACCCAAAAAAACCCCACCTCATATTTATTTTATATTATGTGATGAATCCTAGGATGGTTAGTGGTAAGCAGTTGATTCTTACCTAGTGAATTTGCTCTGCATCATCAGAGGTATCATGTAGTGAATCTGCCTTGTTACTTTGACCTTCTTGGAGAGTAACAGCTTGGGTTTAAGCACATGTATTATTAAATTGCTGAAATGTTTGACCACAGATGTCCATTTCATATATAAATAATTAAAAGAAACAACCCTGATTGTCACAACAGCTTTCAATAGCTGCAGTGAAACATACTACGTTGCAAAGAAAAGATTGCTGGCATTTGGAAGAGTTTTGAGCGTTTTATATGTGGGAGTGTTTGGGAGGTTAGAATGGCAGACAAGGAAGTATGGCTCACTTTTGTAGCTTGTTATAATTCTATGTCTAATTTTTTTTTGCTTCAAGAGAAGCATTATGTACATATTCATGTGTTAAATAAAAGTCAATTTTTTTGTTTTGGTATCTTTGTGAAATGAAGATATTTTGGTTTTGGTTTGTTTTTTTTTAAAATGAAAATGAGGTGAGGTATTTATATTAAGGTACCATAAACTTCTGATAAGCACATTTCTCTAGGTTATGATCCCCAACAGTCTTTTAATGCTATTTCTGGAACAGCGGTGTAAATTGCAACAAAGTACAGCAAAGAATGTGGTGACAGACAGGGTTAATCTCTGTGTCTGTCTGCACAGGACCAGATTATGGATGTTGGTCATCACCTTTCTGCTCATTCAAAGATGGGTTATGTTGCTCTTACATACTTATTTAGTGCAAGATTGTGCAAGGTTTTCTAGCTGTCTTAAGAGCAGCAAGAAACAGTGGCTCAGAAGGCAGCTGTCATTTCATACCCATTCCAGCTGCCCTTTCCACTCAGATTTCCTCCCATCCCCCAGTTTAAAAAAAAAAAAAGGGGGAGGAGAGGGGAGGATTGCAGAAAAGACTGTGATGGTTTAAAATCTCTAGCAGCTAGTCCATCACATCCTTCAGTTTTCGTGGCTATCTGCCAGTTTTAAAAAATGCTTATTTTCTCCTGCCTTGCCAGTAATTAGACAAATGCAGTAGTGCTTATGGCATCAAAAACTCTGTGGCTGGTAAAAGCAATTGCTATCATAATGCATCCCTAAATTTAATAGTAGTGGTGTAAAATGAATAAGCACCTCTTTATTTCAAGGGGTAATGGCTTTAACTATCAAAATGGCTAGTATTTTCCTTGATTGGCTGCTTAGGCTCCTTTTTTTGTATCTATGTTTGTAGGAACTGAATCCCTTATAACAACTGTGTTTTTATTTAACAAACAACAAGGCAAGCAGAAATAGGAAACTCCTATAAAGTGTCATCAACTTCCTATTCACCTGTGATCGCAGGTTTTTCCTTATATCCCCTTTACAGACAAAACTCAAACCTTTTCTTTGCCTGTATTACACTTAAAGTTGTCATTTCCTTTTCTGCTTTCCTTGCGAAATTGCTTGCCTTATGTTGTGCCTGGAGTGTTGCTGTGCATGGAGGTCTGATTAATTGGAAAGAAACTTTATTACTGGAAAAACTCGACACATTGGTGTAGAAAATGGATGAAAAATTTACTTTTTTGATATATAGTGCCTTTTTCTTGCTACTGTGACATCTACAAAGCTTCTCTCAAGGAAAAGATGCGTTGGCAGTTTGTGCTGTCTTAAAGAGGTCTCAGTCTTTAAGGCCAGGTGCAGTTGTGTTGATGCCGTTTGGCTAAGCCTTAAAAGTTCCTGTAATCTGCCATCCTGTCTCATACAGTCCCATCTCATAGTTGTCCTTTCTCTGCAGTGCTCTATGCCCAGATCTCTGTGGCTGGGCTGCTCCAGCCTGGCGGACAGCATGCCCTCGCTGCGATGCCTGTATAACCCAGGGACTGGCGCACTCCCAGCTTTCCAGGTACTTTCTGTCTCTCCCCACTCCTTTTCTCTCGGTGTACATGTGCATCTCCTTCTTTACTTGCTTGCTTGACCTCCATTTATTCTGGTTCATACTTAATGCCTCTCCTATGTCATTCAGATCTCTGGTATTTAAACCCATCTTGTGTAGATTCAGGGCGGCTCAGTGCTGGGGCATTTCCATTTACTGCACTATAATTATTTTATCTAAATTGGCTTGATATCATCATCTTTTTCCATTGACTTTCAATTGTGTCAGATAGTACCACTTAATTGTATTTGGCAAACAGTCTCCATCACACAGTCTCCAATCTGGCTATTCATGCAGTGATTCCCCTCCTATCTAAATTTTTTGTGTGCCACTTAGAGAACTGAGGGGGTGAGTTCATTGCCATAGTGATAATTGATGCCAGCAATTGTTTACTTCAGCTTTGTTAGCAGTAGTCTGGACATTTTGACTGCAGAAAATTATTGGACAAGTAAGCTGTCAATCAAAAGGCAAATAAAGGAAATTGGTGTGTTTTTTTTTCCTTTAGTCTCTGAATTTGTTAGATTCAGGCTTTTCTCTGCCATGAAGCAGCTTTCTGCCAAGTCTGACCAAACTGCCAAGTTTGGTCAGACTTCAGACTGGGTGACCAGTGAATCTTACAAAATGCAGACACACTCCTGTGGTTAGAGAGTGAGACAGGTTTTGGGTGAGCATCCAGAAACCTAGATCAGGCTGTTAAGATCATTGCAAGCATTTTAGATGACATGTGGATATAAGCAGCAGAGACTAAACAGCAAAGGTGTTATGTTCATGTTGGATACTCTGAGATATTTTATGAACTGCAGTGACTGAGGGACTTCAGGAGTATCTCTGTAGAGATTATTGGAGCTAATGGTAGCATGAACAGTTTACTTCAAGTTTTATGCTGCTGCAGACTTAACCTGTGGCAGAGTTTTATTCATCTTGCAAAACCAGATACAGTAAATAGAATATTTCTGAAATTTCCAGTCATTTGGAGGAAGTTCATTGTGTGACTCTAAAGGAAAGGATGCAAAGATTATTTCAAATTTGACTTTTTGCTCCCTGGGCTAGGATAATACCATGGAACTAATCCTCTCAGTCCCAAGGGAGGCTTAAGTGTCTTGCATCATTTTGCTGCAACTCTTTTTGCTGACCCAGCAGTAGCACTGATGGACTCTGGAAGGTGTCCTGCCAGGCCTCCTTTGCTGAAGCAAGCTTTTAGCAGGGCTTTCCATGGGAGAGGGGGAAGACGACTTTTTATTAGTCTAAGAGGACTCTGGAGACAACAGGCAGAGTTTAGACTCCTACTTCTAATCCTGATTTGCATAATTTGACTAAATCGGATGGGCCTAATTTTTAGGCTTTCAGCTGTTGAATAAATCTAAGATCTCTTTAAGCTCAGGTTTTAGAGAGCCTTAGCAGTATATGGAAAGCAATTTATAAACTCAAATTGGGACTTACTCTTTCTGCTTGGATTATTTTTGGTTACTCAGCATAAGCATATATTACAAAGAGGAAAGATGTTCTGGAGATGTTCTTGCTAATAGGTAGGAACAAGAACTTTTCTGCTAATGCAGTCAGTGCATTGATGTTTGGGGTCAAGTGAGTCAGCTGCACAACCATTCATCATGTTCTGCCTTCTTGGGGTAGTAGTAGGACTTTGACGTTTGCATTTCTGCAGATTTTGGGAGACATTTGCATGTATATTTAGTGACTGTGGGAACTGGGGAAGTATGTCCCGCTCGCCATCTGAAATGGTGTGCTGGTACTCTTCACAGAACTCTGACTGCCATGTTGAACACATTTATTGCCAGTTGAGAGAGAAATCAAATTGCCAGCAACAGCTTCTGCAGCAGTGAGTCATCCACGTATCAGTCCATTTTTTCAATGGGTTCTGATTGATCCCCATTAGCTTGCATGAAGAAAACTCCCCTCTGAGGCATGGCTTCTGCATCTTACAGTGCAGAAGGGAGTGGTTTGGAGCCTGCTTGAAGCTGTGATGTTGCAGTAGTTCATCATTCTTTAATGCTTTTTCTGGTATTGAATCTTCAGGAAAGCATTAAAGAGTATGCTGTAGCCCTGCAAATTTTCTCATATTAAGTTATTTTCTTTTTTCCGTAGCAAGCTTGAAGTAACTGGAGAAGCATATCAATGTTCTTTGCTTGTGGCAAAAGAGAAGATGCCATCTGGAAGGCTACTTAGTCACTGCTGAATTTGTCTAGTTATTTACATGCCTACCTTTAGATGCTCAGACAGAAATGTGGAAAGATGCTCTTTTTGAATAGCTCAGTTAGTCTTGCTGACTTCTCGTGGGAAGCATTGGCAGATAGTTGATTTAGATATTCTGTTAATATATCAGGTAACTTCATTTTTCTTCTTTGTATGTTTTTATTATTTGAGACACTTATGTGAAAACAGGATCTTCTGGATACTCATCTCTGTTTGGCAATCATCCTGCAACAGGAAAGGTTTTAAGGCTAAAACCATGAGTAGGGGAATAAGGAGCTAGAAACAGTTCTTTTTTACATCTTTTATCTTGAAGGGCTTTGCAACTGATGGTCTATGGTGTAACTGAATTTCATAGCAATCATTGTGGAAGATGGCAGCAAATTGGAACATGAACTTCTATAAGGCAC